TATCTGCTTCGCTGTAAGCTTCAAAGTTTCCGGTTATTATGAGTTAGGCTCCGAGCTACATATACATTTTCTCGCCAAAAAGAACACCTGTTTTTAAATCTTGCGAGCTGGGCTTGAACCAACGACCTAAGAAACTACAGTCCTCCGCTCTACCAACTGAGCTATCGCAAGAGCATGTTTTAATCACGCGAAAAAACAATCAAAATACATGTGTGTTTGGTCGCGCTACCTGTCACGTTTGCCCAGGCTTGCCCGAGTGACGCTTGATCTTATTCTGTGGCGTCATTGCACTAGGGTTTAAGGCTCACAAAGGAGAGCGTACCTTGTTGTGTTTGGTCGCGCTACCTGTCACAGTTGGTCCAGGGTTAGGGTTAGGGTCAGCAAAGTGACGTCATTGATTTTGCACACTATTTACTTCCGACACCCAAGTTTGCATACTCATTACTTCCGTTGCCAGATAGGTGTCTTTTCTCCAAAGCTTTTCTGCTACCATATTCATAAAAAGCATGTATATTTTACTGAAACTATACGTCTTTTCTTGTGTTTCTTCCCAGTTTTCTCGAGTTTTGGTATTTGTGTTTTATATCTCTCAACTTTTCAATTTTTGTCAGCCTCGCTTAAAAATACACAACTGCACTGATCTCAAATTAGTTCGAAAGCAACACTGGAATTTTAATAATTTTAATTTTTGGCAACGTCGGTCCAAATGGGAAAAACTGTGTCGTCGGTCTTGAAAACGTCCCTCACCCTTCGGACTCGGGTTTTTTCCAAGACCTCGGCCACAGTTTTTCTCATCCGGACATCGCAGCAGGTAAATATGGCTAAGGCGAGTAACTGTCATATGGCTAATGTGAGTAGCTGTCATATAGGCCTACTGAGATTTTCCTCTGGAAATTATGGCTAATTGAGGCTGAAACAACTTAAGGTGGCTCCCTACAGTTCTCTAAAATTCCAGGTATTTTGAGTAACGTTCGCTTACAACCGAATTTATATTAAATATACTTAAGACAGGGCAATATGATTGCTGTGAGGTGTGTGCAGAAGCTGTGTGCTGTCCATTTATGAACAGATTAAAACAGTGTTCGTGTTGCCATGACAACCATGACGTTTAATCATTTGCACTTTTATTGTCTAATTTCACAATAAATTGACAATATCTATATTTTCCTGCGGTAAATTTTTCTGAAATTTCTTTGGCAGATTTATGGTCCATAATGGAAAAACATATCAAAATTTGAGGTGAGGTTTACAAATAAGTTTTCGAGATATTCGTGAATGACGGTTACAGAAAAAGTTATTTGTAGAATTTCTTAAAATTTGGATATGTTGTACCACTCCGTCTTGTATAACAAAAATACAAAGTTTAAAAAAACTTCACAGAAGAAAACACGAGAAAATCATCGCTAAAATCGGCGAGGCCAGCATGAAAAAAAAATCGACTCGACATGAGCATGATCTGCGCATGCGTGTAAATTGTGGCGTGTGATTTATAGTGATTTTAAGTTTTTGGCTTACAATATATACGAAAACAGATATTTCTGACTTGTTAGACATGAAAATAAAATATTAATCTTGAAAATACTAATAATAAAAACATTATTACGCATTGTATTAAATTCACTGTTTCTTTACATTTTGTGAAAACTTTTCAAAACATCAAATTACATGTTTAACTTTTCATATAAAACAACTCATAACTGTTTTATTTGATTTAGCAGATAAAACGATACCTGCGAATCGAATTGATTGACAGGACTTACATAAGTTTCGGCGACAGTTCACTACTGTTCAAGAGTTAATAGAAGACAGTATCATTTCAGTTTGACAGTTCGCCACGCAAGTTGAAAATTTTGAGCCTAATGATAGACAATTCTGAACGTAAATGCGTAAAAACACACTAAAAGATAGGTTAAACTAGTTAATAACATACGTACTGTTCGAATTCAGAAAAATTAGGATTATAATGAAAAAAACTGGAGCTTTCTTTGTAGATAAAAAGCCAAAATTTTCCCGCGGCTGGTTTCAATATTTTTGCCCAACCGGTCCGAACAGTGAACACAACGATTCCACGCGCAGGTCGCGAGGATGAAGTCTGATCTATATAAATCGTATTTAAACTGTACTAACTGGCTCCCTACAGTTAGTACAGTTTAAATACGATTTATATAGATCAGACTTATCCTCGCGACCTGCGCGTGGAATCGTCGTGTTTTCTGTTCGGCAAAAATATTGAAACAAGCCGTGGGAGGTTTTTTGGCGTTTTTATCTACAAAGAAATCCCCAGTTTCTCATTATAATCCTAATTTTTTATGAATTCGAACAGTACGTATGTTATTAACTAGTTTAACCTATCTTTTAGTGTGTTTTTACCTATTTACGTTCAGTATCGTCTTTCATATTGCTCAAAATTTTCAACTTGTTGTTTTGCGAGCTGTCAAACTGAAATGATACTGTCTTCTATTAACTCATGAACAGTAGTGAACTGTTGCCGAAACTTATAAAAGTTCTGTCAATCAATTCAATTCACAGGTATCGTTTTATCTGCTAAATCAAATAAAACAGTTATGAGTTGTTTTATATGAAAAGTTAAGCTTGTAGTTCGATGTTTTGAAAAGTTTTCACACCGATTTTAACAACAACAACAAATGTAAACTAACACTGGATTTAATACAATGCCTACAATAGTGTTTTTTATTAGTATTTTCAAGATTAATATTTTATTTTCATATCAAACAAGTCAGAAATATCTGTTTTCTTATGTATTGTAAGCCAAAAAGTTGAAATCACTATAAATCAACAGCGCGGAAAAACGTCTGCGCATGCACCAAATTATGAAAATATGGCTGGGAATTTGAATATCAATTTCTAAAACAAAAACATGCTTATTAATTGGTCAAAATTAGTAAAATAAACGAAAAATATAGCAAATGGGTAGACTAGACATTAATTGAAAGCGTCCTGGCATTTAAAGTATGGAATGAAATATGATTCATGTAAAAAATTGTTGATTTTAACGGACACGACTTCGAAAATATTTGCAAAATTATTCAAAACAAAAATTCAAACTCAAAAGTTAAGAAAACTCTCGAAAAGTTAAGCTTCTTAACCCACTCAAAATGTAGAATAAATCCTAAAGTTTAATTATTGTGAACACGAAAATTTTTTATATTTGGCGACACAGTTTTTTTTAAAGAAATGTATCTCAAACGAAAATTCGGAAATTGTCGTTGCTTAGTTGATAAACAAAATGTTTTACACGATAAATTTGTCAACAATCACCTTTAGTTCATGTTCTTGTACAATACAATTTCTTGAATCTTCTGGCTGTATTTATTCCTAGTTTTTAGAATGACATGTTTATTTTTGCGCTCGAAATCTGGCTGTAAAGACGCACAATGAAGTCACTCATTTTTACCGCCATTTTGAGCCTTCGGAAACGTTCGGAACAGCTTTTCATCAAGTTCGCAATACTATTACAGGTAAGGTTGACGCATGCGCAGACGTTTTTCCGCGGTGTTCTATAAATCACACGCTACAATTTACACGCATGCGCAGATCGTGCTCATATCGAGTCGATTTCTTTTCATGCTGGCCACGCCGATTTTAGCGATGATTTTCTCGTGTTTTCTCCGGTGAAATTTTTTTGAAACTTTGTATTTTTTTTTATACAAGAAGAGTGGTACAACATATCCAAATTTTAAGAAATTCTACAAATAACTTTTTCTGTAACCGTCATTCACGAATATCTCGAAAACTTATTTGTAAATTCCCTTCAAATTTTGATATGTTTTTCCTTTATGGACTATAAATCTTCAAAAAAAATTTCAGAAAAATTCACCAAAGGAAAATATAGATATTGTTAATTTATTGTAAAATTAGACAATAAAAGTGCAAAAGATTAAACGTCATGGTTGCCATGGCAACACAAACACTGTTTTAATTTGTTCATAAATGGACAGCACACAGCTTCTGAACTTTCCTGGAAATGATCATGAACTTTCCTGAAAGTGATCTAATATAAATTCGGTTCAAAGCGAACGATACTCAAAATACCTAGAATTTTAGAGAACTGTGGGGAGCCACCTTAAGAGCAGCTAAAACACTACATTATATTTTTTGTCGTATTGAATTTGTCGTACTAAATCGAAAGGTATTTTTATAGATCGTATCTGGCTACAGCTGACTTTGTTCGGGGTTTTTTCTCTAGTAAGTAAATGTTTAGTAAAAAAATTAATTTCATTAGAAAAACTTTTTTATTCTTGGCCTGTTCCCCTAGCATTCCCCTCGCATTCCCCTCGCATTCCCCCCGCATTCCCCTCGCGGAATTGCTGTATTTTTAGGAACAACAATTTTCGGTTAATTGATCGAAATTTTGGACAACAAACCCCCAGACGCCTCAATCTCAGACTGTCTGAGATCAAGCCGTCTGGGGTTAGTTGTCCAAAATTTGAAATTTTGCCAATTACTCTTGCGGTGAAGTAGACAATTAGGGAAATTGACATAATTCGATCAATTAACCGAAAGATTTTTGTCCCTCAAAGGGAATGGGGAATGAGCGGGGGACTAGGCAAGAATAAAGAAGCTTTTCTAATGAAATTCATTTCTTACTAAGCATTTACTTACTAGAAAAAATCTTTGGACAAGCAAAGTCAGCTGAAGGCTAAATATTAAAATACTCTGCAAGACAAATACAATAAACAAAAAAATCGAATGTAGTGTTCTAACTATACTCTTAAATTAAGTTGTTTCAAGCCCATGCGGAAAAGGTCAGTATATGACAGTACCTCACCTTAGCCATATGACGACAAATAAGAAAACGTTTTTAATTATACTGCAGTATATGCTCTTGTGCTTGTGCGATGTTTACTAACTAATTACGTTTCATTCAAAAGGGCAAACAGAGACAATCGCGTGCAAAAATTATTGAGACAACTAAGTCATCGGCCCCCTACCCCCATAAACGATACAAAGTTATATTGTAATGTAAAATTGTTTTCAACATTGAATTGGGAGGTGGAGAAGTAATCACGGAAAAACGGAAATGGAACAAAATATCAAAAGTCTCACTATTTTTTTGTTCTATTTCCATATTTCCGTAAATACTTCTCCCTCTCTCCCCCCTGTTTAATGTTGGGACTGAAAAAATTAACCTTACGATATAGCTTTGTGTCGTTTGTCCAACATTGTTTGTGGGGGTAGGAGGCCAATGACTTTGTTTCTCAATAACTTTTGCACGCGATTGTAGGTTATACCCCAAGTTAGTCCAAAACGTGAAGCTAAAGATGGAGCTATGTTAAGAATGTTCTTAACTTCACTATAACTATGCTTTATCTTGTAGCAAAATATGCAAACTATAAGCATATTTACTTTATTTACGAATTATTAAAGAGAACAATACGAGTCTGCGTTAATTGCTGGGCACTTAATACTTCATGTTATATCAATGTATCGAGTATACATGCGAGGGGGCGCTGCATTATCTATGTCTAGTATGCCACATGCTATAACTCCGTAACAATTAAAATATTGCTTTATTTACCGACGGTCAGACTCATCTGCATTTACATTCATACAAAGATTACGAACACGATTAATAGACACACTAAGAACTGCAAATGTAATTTTAAAAATTCCTAACAATTATTAATATAAAACAATAGCTTTGAACGAGCGTCATAAACGTAATAAAAAATTATAATTGCAACTAGAGTTAAATTCTCTCACGGCGCCTTGCACACCGGGATTGGGATACTGTTCTATAGCACCGCTCCAACATATAGACAAAGCAATTTTTAGGTGGTCGGTCCAGGGCCTAGTATAAGATGGGTGGTGCGCAGTTTTTCTTATTGGGTAGTTTATTATACTGCCATGGTCCATTAATATGGGCCTCAAATAATTAGAGAGGTAGCCCACTATGTTATTTTAGACCATATCAACTTTCTGAAACTTCGGTTCGGAGTCCAGATATTTACTGTAGGACATAATTGGCACCATTCTTATAGCTAAAAAACGATAGTATCCTGACCACGCGATTGTTGTATTTTTTAAGCTGTCAGCAAAGATTTTGTTGAAATTGTCCTAACGACGCAACAGCAATTCAAAATGAATTTGACCTGACAAATTTAAAATGTTACTGGCAATTGCTATGCGAGAGACGAGAGTCTGTGGTTGAAACGTAAATAATCATTCAACTCTGATAAATACCTAAATGTAGGAAATATAAAAATATAAAATATATAGGAAATACTTTTCTCCTTCAGAATTTGTGGTATGAATATAGGCTACATGTATTTTGTGAAAGGAATAATATTTCTGACTGCAATTTTTTCTTTAGATTTTTGGATAGACGTGAATCAAATTTCAAACGCTATCTTTATAAAGCAGCTCTGTTTATAAATGCACTCCAAAACTATCTGGTTGCATTGGTTGGCTCAACATATGTAGCATATAAAGTCACAACCGTTCCGGAACCTGGAACAAAGATGGGCACACAAAATCTACATGGAGCGAAGTCGGTCGTAGATTTGATTTTGTTAATAACCAATAACGGATTTCGTTATTTTATTGCCGAATTTTTCCTGTCTAAGATGTTTGACGAAGATTTGGATATATTGGGAGGGAAGACTATTGAAGAAAGTATTGGTGTACGAATCCCAGGACGGGATAATCATAATGTTTTATATGGAATAGGGACTTAACTTTTGTAACCTCCGAGGTGATTTTCATCGGCAGATAAATGGCGGGAAGTAGTAGACATGCATTCTCCATGTACATATGATCTTAGAAACATCTTAACATAATGTGTAAGCGCTTGCAATGGTTTGTACATATCGTCCAACATCTTCGCGCTTTCGACGTTAAAGCATGCTAATTACTTGAATGCCATAAAGGTTAACCGTACACAACAACCAATAATATACTATTTCTAATTAATGATTAACACTACGAGTGATTTTTTATTATATGCATAACAAAATTGCTTTCTTTAAAATTCAACTGTATTTTGTCAAGAGTTTTTAATGCTTTTGTAAGTAGTTTGGCATAAACAAACTTGGGAAATGATATAAACTCATAAAGGCACATAACTTAAACGAGAACACATAACAGTGAAACTCAAACAACATCTTTTAGAGTAAGAAAATCTTTATAAATTGTTTTACAGACTTATATAGTCAAGTTTCGCTGCATCCCGCCGATATTGATTTTTTAAAACTGTTTCCAGGTATTTTCCACAAGCTCTTTTTCCATACAATGCTTTTAAACTCATTCTTGTGCCAAAATTTAGTTAAATTCGTCCACGTTTGTCATTTATACAAGATAAATTTTGCTGCCATATTGCCATTTTTGTTGTTTTGATTCCCGCTCCTCCCAGCCGTCACAAAAATCATTAATTGCACTCCTGGAGAGTGCAATTAGTATAGGTAAACGCATGGAGCCGAAGGTTTAATTTCACGCGTGTTTTCAAAGTTTCCATCGCCAACTATTGCGATCTTATGTCAATCCTGCTATCCAGCGGAAGCTACCCGAAATGCGTAACGTGCAATGTTTTGCAATGTTTTGAAATGACGAGATGGGAATAAATGAGCCAGTTCTATTAGAAACACAAAATTGTTTCACCTATGGGTTAAATTTTCAATTTCGACGCTGGAATAGTCGTTATTGTCAAAATAAATGGTTTTAAGCACGGAAAACATTACAATATTTCTTTGAGTTTGAAGTTATTTAATACGGTTGACCTTTTAGTTTGGCAACAGCCAAACGGTTCAACTTCTACCGCTGGCAGCACGAATTGTTTTATGTGTATCTCAGAAGCGTTTGCAGGGTTGAAAAGTACACATCGTGGCGATCATTTTGGTACCAAATACATCCTACTCCGAGTGATATTTCGCCTTCAATTTAGCTTTTAAACGCACTAAAATTTGCGGCGATGCGACCAAATATTAACAGCGCATAATATACTAAGTGTCTACGAAAATTCATGATATTTGATGGTAAATACGAAAAACTTATCCAATGTTTTATGTGCCCAATTTTTGTAAGCAGCTAGCAAGGATCCTCAAGGTTGGTGTTCCATTTGAGCAAATCACATAGCAGTCACAGAAATCTAAAAATTTATAACAATGAAACTCGGTATTCGAGCGGATTTTGGCCGAGTTAGTGTACAAGTCTATAGAGGTAAAGCGTTCAGAAGGTGAATCTCGAAACGAACAACTTAATAAGGCTTTAACTATTACTTTTTTCGACAGTGCCGTTTGTATGCGATGTAGGAATAATACTCCATTTGAGCAAATAAAATAATCGAAATATCTTTTTGTCAATTAATTCGATGTTTTTAGTTTGACTCCTATGTATTTTATAGATTTCTTTTCCTAAAATATATTTACTTTTACGGGGGTATCCGCTGGCGCACTGCCGACTTAATGTCCGAAATAGTTGGCGATGAAAAATTGCCCGAGTCGCAATTGCGATGAGGGCAATTTGTGAAACTTTGAAAATACAAGTGAAATTAAGAGGAGATTTTTTAGAATTTCGAGTAATTGGCGCTAAGAAATACCGTCATGCTTTGCGCGAAAAAGGTGCAATTTGTTGTTTTTGCGAAAATGGCTGGGTCAAAATTTAAGTCGATAAATTACTGGCCAAATATTCGAGTGGGAAGTAGTTGGATTTTAAAATACATACCAGAAATGAATTCTGCATAATTATCATGGTTAGTCTACTCAGAGCTCCTACAGCCGTTATACTGCCAATTTTGGAATAAAAAGACCACTTTCAATCTGTGGAAGGACGAAGCAGGGAGTGATGTTTGACTACAGACGTTACTCAGGTATGACAATTTTGGGAACTATACTTTCTCATTGAACCACATTATATCTTGCTGATTTTTTTGTAAAAGAGAGGTCCATTACCACACTTTGTAGCAAAGGTAAACTGGTTGGAGCTATGTGCCTTAATCCTCAATCATTGGGAATTTATTTCCTAAAAGTTGTTTATTTTCCCTTGTTGCCCATGGAAGTTATGGTCGCTGTGTATATTTTATCCTATTACTGCTTCAATCGTGCATAAATCTCAATTATTTTTATATAGTCACGTAGCTAGATATTCTCGATATAAAGTGACATAATTTGATGCATGTACAAAGAATAATCGACTATTAAGTGTGAATTTTTGTTGACTCATTTGTATAAAATCTGCCCCATTTTGACAACGAATTTGAAAAGTATAATAATTGCCTAAAAATCTATATAACCATGTGAGCGACACTTGTAAGCTTTATTGGATGTTTAGTTGACTTAGTGAAGGTTTAAATCACAATTTTTGAAAGAAGTCGGAGGGGGAGATCCTCCCAATATTTTTGATGTTTTGACCTCAAGTCAGCCATTTTGCCAACTGTTTCCCTAAAATGATATAGATTTCCATTTTTACTATGAAATAAGTAAATTTGTTGTTAACTTTCAAAATATAAAAAACACAGCATCTATAGATACCAATTGTAGTCTTAAATTGGGAAATGGAACTTGTGAAAAGTTGAAAAGAAAGATATTGGAATATTGATTATGATACATTGTTTGAAAGTCTGAAAATGGGAGCAGATATTTAGAGGTTGAATGTAAAAATCCAATAGTTTTCCTAAACTGCGTGTCGACAGTCGTAAGCTTCATTGTGAGGAAAGAATACTTAATGTGGGCTAAAATATTGTATTTTGAAGAAAATTGTGGGGGGAGGTCCTCGCAGAATGTGGCCAGTTTCATTAGCTTTCATTGTTTTAATTGCATGTATTTCATTAAGGTGGCTCTATGAAGTTTAAGGAAATATATGTTTGGACTTCAGAAAATTCACAAATTACCTCTATTAATGCTATGAAAGAGCTGTTCAACAAATACCTCAGCATGACGTTGTACACATGTGAAATCGTAAAAAAGGGGTTACCATGGCAATACTAATAGAAACTTTATCTTTACAAAACCTATATGCAACCTATAGGCCAACAACTGGCCTTTGATGTGCAATGCATTTTCTTTTATTTTTATTGCAGTTATTTAAGTAGTGCAATCTGGTCATTAGTTTTAGTATTATTCATTGTACTGAGATCTTCTCATTTTCTCATTGGCTAAGAACCTACAGGCTAAAGACAATTCTAGGTTTGCGCTGGTGTTAAACTAATTACTTAAGCCCTTGACCAGGGCCAGCCTGGTTAGTGCATTTACAGGGGCGTAGGAACGGGAGGGCACGTGCCCTGCCCCTCCCAAACTTTTCAAAGGACTAAAAGTGCCCTTTTTTGTGATAAAAAGTACCTTTTTTGTACAAGTTAATGTCGCTGTAAATACTAAATTAACTAAATTTGTTTGGAAATTTCAAAGTTTTTTAAAAACATTTGGTCAAAAACGTGCAATTTCGGTATGTTACGACGGGGAAATGTTTTAGGTGCCCTTTTCAAAACCCTAAAGTGCCCCTAGAAGCCGATGACCACCCCCCCCCCAATCTTTTGATGTTTCCTACGCCCCTGTGTATTTATATGGGAAAATGCGTATCGTGGTAACAGAAATTTAATTTTTTTCAAGCGAGGTCTTGTCAGGCGGTTGTCATTCTAATCAGACAAACCCAGCTTTCAATAAAAATCCCCATGTCTGAACCTCTTTATTATAAAAACTCATTCAGCATACTTCCTTATTTCTTGTTCGTTTAAAAAACATAGATGTATGGGGCCTAAATTCGTGGAATTCTACCGGGCCAAACATCGATCAATTAGCTCTTTAATGCACGGCCACCAAGATGCGCCCTACTTTATTATTTTACTCTGTCTAACGCCAGATTATTTTACTCTGTCTAATGCCGGACGATTTTACTCGTCGGGGGGAGCGTGCTGTGCTACCACACAATGGGTTAAAGATGCGGTACAGTCGGTATGTAAACAAAGGCTTTGTTTACATTTCGGTATCCAAAATATTTAATTTTATTCGACAACTATTTATATTTTCATGATTCTAGAGTATAATAAATTAAGAAGAGACAACAATCAAGCTTTGCAAGAACATAAAATGAAATAAAAAACCTAAATAAACTGTTTGTAAATAAAAAGTGGGCTTCCTTGTGCACATGCGTACCGCATCTTCAAATCATATATATATATATATATATATATATATATATATATATATATATATATATATATATATATATATATATATATATATATATATATATATATATATATATATATATATATATTAATATATATATATATATATATATATATATATATATATATATATATATATATATATATATATATATATATATATATATATATATATATATATATATATATATATATATATATATGTTAGTTGTGTTATTGTACACTCTGTAATATGTTAAGATGAAAATGTTCTAGAGTATGTATTATATAATTTCCATACCCAGCGCAAGCAGAAAGATGTTGTCTGCCGCGGCTGGGTCTCGAACCCGCGACCTTCGAATTACTAGATCGACGCTCTACCTACTGAGCTATACGGTCAGACGGATTTAAGACTGGAAATTATGAAATATATACTGAATGTCATAAACATACTCGTTTATATTAATTCAGCATCGAACAATACTAGTTCTGCAAGTGTTATGTGAGTTGTGTAATTGTACACTCTGTAATATGTTAAGATGAAAATGTTCTAGAGTGTGTATTATATAATTTCCATACCCAGCGCAAGCAGAAAGATGTTGTCTGCCGCGGCTGGGTCTCGAACCCGCGACCTTCGAATTACTAGATCGACGCTCTACCTACTGAGCTACACGGTCAGACGGATTTAAGATATATATATATATATATATATATATATATATATAATAATAAAAAAATTGCAAAATAAAAAAATTGCAACTATAGGAGTAAAGTGTGTTCGTTCACTACAACCAGG